GGGATATGTATAGAAGTTGCATTGATTGTTTTGGATAGTATTGAGATCTTAGTAATGTTAGATTTTCTAATCCATGTACACCATGGGGTGCCTTTCCATTTATTTGTGTGTTAATTTCTTTCAGCAACATTATGTAGTTTTCAGTATACAAGCCTTTTGCCTCCTTGGTTAAGTTTATTCCTAAGTACTTCATCCTCTTTAACGCCGTTATAAATGGGATTGCTTTCTTAATTTCTCTTTCTGAAAGTTCATCATTGGTGTATAAAAATGACACTGACTTCTTTACTGAATTCATTGATCAGTTCTAACAGTTTGTTGATGGTATCTTTAGGGTTCTCTATCTACAGTATCATGTCATCTGCAAATAACAAGAGCTTTACTTTCTCTTTTCCAATCTGGATACCTTTTATTTCTTTCTCTTTTCTGATTGCTGTGGCTAAGACTTCCAATACAATGTTGAAGAGCAGTGGTGGAAGTGAGCATCCTTGTCTTGTTCCTGATATTAAGGAAAATACTTTAGCCTTTCCTCATTGAGTAAGATGTTAGCTGTAGGTTTGTCATATATGGCCTTTATTATTTTGAAGTATGTTCCCTCTATTCCCACTTTGCTGAGAGTTTTTATCACAAATGGATGCAGGATTTTGTTGAATGTTTTTTTAGCATCTATTGATATGATCATATGGTTTTTTACCTTTCGATTTGTTAATGTAGTGTATCACATTAATTGATTTACAGATATTGTACCAACTTTGCATCCCAGGGATGAATTCAACTTGATCGTGGTGTATAATCTTTTTAATGTATTGCTGAATTCAGTTTGCTAATATTTTGTTGAGGATTTTTACATCAGTGTTCATAAGAGATATCGGCCTATAATTTTCTTTTTTTGTAATGTCTTTGTCTGGTTTGGAAATCAAGGTAATGGTGGCCTTATAAAAGGAGTTAGGAAGCCTTCCCTCTTCTTGAACTTTTTGGAATAGTTTGAGAAGAATATGTGTTCATTCTTCTTCAAATGTTTGGTAAAATTTGCCTATGGAGCCATCTGGTCCAGGACTTTGGTTTCTTGGGATATTTTTGATTACTGATTTGATTTCATTGGTGGTAATGGGCTGGTTCAGTTTTTTTGTTTCTTGACTCAGTCTTGGGAGATTGTCTGTTTCTACGAATGTATCCGTTTCTTTCAGATTGTCCAATTTGTTGGCATATAATTGCTCATATTTTCTTATGATCCTTTGTATTTCTATGGAGTCCATAATTATTTCTCTTTCATTTCTGATTTTATTTGAGTCCTCTCTCTTTTTTCCTTGATGAGTCTGGTTAAAGGTTTGTCAGTTTTGTTTATCCTTTCAAAGAACCAGCTCTTCATTTCTTTAATCTTTTGTATTGTTTTTCTAGATTCTTTTCATTTATTTCCACTCTGATCTTGATTAATTCCTTCCTTCTAGTCACTTTAGGCTTTGTTTGCTGTTCTTTTTCTAGTTCTTTTAAGTGTAAGATTAGATGGTTTATTTGAGTTTTTTCTCGTTTCTTGAGACAGACCTGTAATGCTATGAATTTCCTTCTTAGGACCGCTTTTGCTGTGTCCCAAGCAAAAGTCATTGAGTCATTGTGTTTTCATTTTCATTTGTCTCTAGGTATGTTTTGATTTCTTCCTCGATCTCATTAATAACCCATTTATTGTTTAGTAGCATGCTATTTAGCCTCCATATGTTTGTATATTTTCCAGATTTTTCCTTGTAGTTGATGTCTAATTTCATACCATTGTGATCGGAGAAGACAGTTGATGTGATTTCAGTCTTCTTAAATTTATTGAGACTTGTTTTATGTCCTAACATGTGGTCTGTCCTGGAAAATATTCCATGTGCACTTGAGAAGAATGTATATTTTGCTGCTCTGGGATGATATGCTCGAAAAATATCTGTTAAATCCATCTGGTTTAGTGTATTTTTTAGGCAGTGTCACTGTTTCCTTGTTGATTCTTTGCCTGGAAGATCTGTCCATTGATGTCAGTGGGGTGTTTTAGTCTCCTACTATGAGTGTATTACTGTTGATCTCTCCTTTTATGTCAATCAATAATTGCTTTATGTATGTAGGTGCTCCTATGTTGGGTACGTATATGTTTACTCGGGTTATGTCTTCTTGATTTATTGATCCCTTTATCATTATGTAATGCCCTTCTTTGTCTCTTATTATAGGCTTTGCTTTAAAGTCTATTTTGTCTGATATAAGTATTGCTACTCAGACTTTTTTTTTTTAATTTCCATTTGTGTGAAATATCTTTCTTCCATCTCTTTACTTTCAGTCTGTGAGTGTCATTTGATCTGAAGTGGATCTCTTGTAGAGCATATGGGTTTTTTTATCCATCAGCTACCCTGTCTTTTGATTGGAGCATTTAATCCATTTATATTTAAAGTGATTACTGATAGGTACATAGTTACTGCCATTTTATTATTCATATCTGTTTTTTCTTTTTTTTTTTTAACAGAAGTTTCTTTAACATTTCTTGCAATACTGACTTGTTAATGATGAATTCCTTAAGCTTTTCTCTGTCTGGGAGCTCTTCATCTCACCAAAGAAGGATTTCTTAAATGAGATATCAAAAATACTTCCCATAAAAGAAAAGATTGCTAAATTTGAGTAAATTAAAACTAATAAGTTATCTTCATCAAAAGATACCATACAAGAGCAAAAAGGCAAGCCACAAAATAGAAGAAGATATCTGCAATACGTATATCTAACAAAGGTGTAATAACTAGGCCATATAAAGAATTCCTACAAATCAATAAGAAAAAGACAACTGGATAGAAAAATAGTCAAAAGACTTAATCAGGTACTTTACAAAAGGGGAAAGCCAATAGCCAATAAACATGAGAAGGTGTTCAATCTCAGTAATCAGTGAAATGCAAACTCAAAACACAGTATTATTTCATTACTTGCCCACTATAATGGTTAAAATTAAAGAATGATAATACCAAGTATCGCCAAGGAAGAGACTCTAATCTGCTGCTGGTGGAAGTGTAAATCAGTACAGCCTCATTGTAAAACAACTTGTCATTTTCAATAGCATTGTATTGCATTCTGATAGTGATTTTAGATTCTCCTTATATATGGCTCACTAGGGGACCCCTGGTTGGTCCCCAAGCAAAATAATTAAGCAAAACCTTCTATGGCAGTATCACATAATTATTTGCTTAGACTAAATCTATGAGAGCAACTTTTTAGCAATATTTATGCATATGTTACAGATGCTGAATATTATAATCATGTGAAACAAAATTATAATTTTCTTATTGTAATTCTACCTGTGGATTTAATCATAGCATTTTTTTCTATCTTAGACTAGAATTGCCATATAGTAGTACTACCATTTATTAAGCATCTACTGTGCCTCCCACTGTTCTAGGGACATTGTTAGCATTTTTTCTTGCCAATACAATGTTCTGGCTAAGAGTATGGGCTCTGGTACAAGACTGCTCTCACTTTCATACTTCTTAGCTGTGTGACTTGGGGCAAATTACTCAATCTCTCAGTCCTTCATTCCCCTCATCTCTAAAGCAGTGATGCAATTTCACGCGTTTAGAAAGACTAAATGATTTATTACATGTAAATTTCCTAGAAAAGCACATAACAATAAATCGATAAAAGCTAATAAGTGATAGAGCCAGAATTCAGACCAAATCTATCTCAACTCAAAATCCCATGCTCTTTCCACTACATGTCATGACCATATAGTTAGGCTTCTCATCTGTGTTATCAGTTAGTATATGCTCAAGGAACACGTCATTTTATTATAAGCCTGTTCTTTTAAAACATTTCTAGGAAATTGTCATGAAGGCCAAGAAAAACCTTTATCTGAATGACTTGAAAACTGATGAGGAGAATGTTCATGCAGGTTCATGTAAACTATTCAAATGAGTGATTTTTCTCTTTTATCAACATAAAACATACATTAGTTTTTTTCTCTCTTTCTTTGTATGCTAGGCGAGTAGCTTGCATCGCCATGGAGAAGACCAAACAGGAGCAGCAGGCCAGCTGTACTTGGTTTGGCAAGAAAAAGAAGCAGTACAAAGATAAATATTTGGCAAAGCACAATGCAGGTAGGGAAAAGTACAACTGTCACTGAGGCTGGTTACAAGTCTAAAAGACGGGAATAGATGTCACATCTCAATTCCATCTTCAGAGTTTATCCAAAAATTCCACCATATGAGGTCTTCATCAGCTTATACAAACGTTCAGAAACCCTTTCCTTCAATTATGATTATTTGCCAGATATTTTACAGAGTTATACTTTATAGGAGGAAAATGCTATTTGGAAATAGTATTTTCTGGAACAAAAAGAACCTAGTACCTTAAGTCCTCCTCTGAGAAATGAGTGCTTGAGAATTTGCTCGGTCACCAGGATTCTTATCTCCTTGCTGAGATTGGTTTTGAGCAAATATCCTTGCTCCTGGCTCCTCTTTGGTCCTTGGACTTGGCCCTAGGACACATTTGAAAGGGCAAAGGTACTCTCTTAACAGAGAACTGTGCTACAAATGGTTCCATGATTGGTTTGAAAGAGCACAGATGACATTGAATAAGAACTTGATACAGTCAGTTTCTATGACTAGTCTTCCTTCATGGTATATTTGTCTCTATGGAAGCTTGCATCAACTTAAGACAAATATTCACTTGTTTGGTAAACACTGAAATGAATATCAAAAAAACATGACCTGTCATTGCAGTAAAATTCCCAGAAGACTCACAAGATGTAACTTGAGTTAAAGAATGCATGATAATATACGGAGTGGTATTTACTTATTTTCAGTAACGTCTTAATATGACTCCTTTTATAAGGAACTTTTTCTAAGGAATTGCAAGTCCCAACATTGGCATTAGATTAATTCCCAAGGTTTCAGAAATAACTCCAAAAATCAAACACATGGCCAAAAAAAAAAAAAAAACAAGTGAATACTTAATAATGCATACTCAATTTGATAGTATAATGTTTCTGACAAATGTGAAATGCACTTCTCTGTAGAATATTATTAACATATGTTATTAGCACTCACTAAGAAAAACTATTTAGAAACTCTGAATGGTCCATTTCTTATTCAGAGAGTAAAAGTAAACATTTTGAAGTTCTGTATAATGTGGAATGAATGTGAGTGGCCATATGTACTAATTTTAAATGGTTCAGTTAAATGAGGAGTCTGTCCTTTCACATTAGCTACATTGTACCACATTTTTATTTCCAATAAATTATAGCATTTCTGATTATGTACCACTAGTCCGATAATGGCTTCTTTTGTTTGTTTGTTTGTTTTATAAAGGGAAGAAATATTTAACGCAAATTAGACATAATTTAGTAACTATTAATTGTAAATGCTCAAGGAGTGCTATTTGAAGAAATTCACTGTAGTATCAACAAATGATGTTTAACATAAAATGTGAATGGTTGTTGCCAAGGCTTCATAATCACCTTTATTTCCATCTGCTTTGAACAGGCTCACAAGATGTGTTGACATTTATATATATCTTTGTAATTTTGACAATAATTTTAAATAATATAGATAGATAGCATTAAAATTAATTTAAACCTAGAAAGGCAAAGAAATGACCAGTCAAGGCTGTCAATTTATCATTAACTTTATACTATACTAATGAAAGACATGTAGACGTTGAGTATTCAGTTTGCCAATATTCTTTAATTAATTTAGCTCTGAGGAAAAATGCAAATCCAATTGATTGAAAAAACTATAACTTCTAAATTCTAACAAAGAATCCATTGAATCGTTCACTATCAAGAATTTAGCTATCAAGAATTTTGCCAAAGAATCAACATTCAATCTGGCAGCTACTCTTTTCCACAGTCCCCTTTTTCCATGCTTTGTCTGCTGGAGCATCACTGATCTTCCATCGTTCCCCTTCTCCTGACTCATCACAGGTGATGCTCCTGACTCATCAGTGGTCCTGCAAATGCACCTGTAAGCTTAATAGCCAACCTGAGAAAGGAGCAGAGATTATCACACCTGAGTAACCCCGCAACTTGTGCAAATCACTTGGCTTCTGTGTGCCTCAGAACGAGGGGATTGCTTAGTCAATCAAAGATATCGTTTCTAATCCAAAATTCCGTGGGTCTCAGGTTCTTTCATCATTGGCCTTGACAAATGAGTATCATTTAATGAAGCCAAGTACTCATTCACTGTCCCTTATCTCAGGCTTTAGCTCTGGTAAACATTGCCTATCAAGTTTGAAGGGTATCAACCTTAATAAAGAAGGCAGGAACCTCATAGGGATAAAATATAATTGCTTTTTCTCTTTTGACATTATACCTCCTTTCCAAAACCATAGACCTGTCTGAGTTCTTGTAAACTTAGAACTAGGAAGTTGGGGGAGACCCACCAACACCACTTTTTTGTTATCTTCAGTACTTTCCTAAGCAACAGTCTTCTGGGCCTCAGGTCCTTCCTTACTGTGTTTACAGTTCCCTCTCACATGACAAGATTTGTCATTGAGTATAAGACCCTCTTTTTATGCCCTTTGATAGCAAGTCTAAGCTTGGAAGGTCCTTGCAGAGCCACTCAAGTTTCTTGTAGAACTTGTGTTTAGGCTTGTTTGTAATTATCTCATCAGAATGTCATTGTTAGGGTTCCCTCCCCCACAAAGTCATCACTCATGAGCTCTCCTATTAGTTTTTCTGGTCAGGAAAAAATGCCTAACTATTTTCCTGGACTTTTTGAAGTATGCTGCCTGGAGTCACCATCTCTTCAGGCTTCTTCCCCTTCACCAACCAGCTCTTCTATTTTCTTCATTGTAAAATCCAGAACCATTGCTTAGTGATTACCTTTATAAGAGATGAAATTGTCAGCAAGGAAAGTCAAATATTTTATCAGCTGTTCTCCCTTAGCGACTCTGGGCTGCTGATGCCCCTTTAAAATTGGACACTCATTCTCTAGGACCCATTGTACCCACCGCTCCACTTGTGCACCTGGCCCAACTCATTCCAACACATTAGCTGCCTGGCCTCTGCACCCATTTGCATGTGCACTCAGCCCAGTGTTGCCAGTGTGCAGTGTCTTTTCTTATTGGCAGTTGTACAGTATTTGAAGATACTTCTAGCTTTTCAAAACTGAGACAAGGAATCAATGTTAAAGGCTTATTTATGAAAAAGATTCAACTAGAAAGTAGTTACCTAAATATTTAAGTTTCGTGAATATTGAGTAGCTTACCAGGAAATCAAGATAATAGGAGCAAACCATGCCAGACAGTATTTCTGAAGCCTTGGGAATAGATTTGATTATGGTGTGTATAGTATTTACAGCAAATACATTTTCTGCAATGCATAAAAGTTTTTAGCCACATGAATTTGATGGGAAAAGCATTATCATGCTGCTAGGAGAACTATACTCTCGAGGCATTGAGATTCCTCAGCCCTAGGACTTCCAAAATTAGTTTAAGATCAAGTTGCTAATGTAAACTTTGGAGAAAAAAAGTATTCATTAATTCAATTTCTCAATGTTAGAGCCCTAAGCAGAGGTATCTAAATATCCCGAGACACCCTACTTGCATACATCCATATGAACACAGAGGATTTCTACAATACCATTATGCTTAATGCCACAAATTAGTACTGTTGATTTTAAAAAGATATAAACTTTTTTCTTTAATACGGAGAACTCTAAAGACAACAAAAGATGGCCCATAATCTCACTGTCCTGTGGATATTTTTTTCTTTTTAAACAGTAAAAGTAGTAGGTACATGTGAATAGAAATTGCAAACAGTACAGGAAGGTACAGAATGGAAAACAAAAGGCTTCTACAACTACATACTGTGAAAAAGGTTTCTTGTAGCTAGTCCCAGACAAAATTTCTATGCATATGCTAGTATATAAAACCCACTGGCTTTTATATGAGGATATTGTTAAATTTTTATGAAAATGAGTTTGTTTTTTAATGTGATTTATTTGCCTCATGTTTAGAATATTGCATGGTAAAGTTTCTTTGTGCATATTATACTTTTATTTTACTAATATATTAAAAGCCATATTTCAATGACCCCTGTACATTTTTCATGCTGTCTTACTCCCAATGGCCTCTGTGCATGTAAGTAACCTGTTGAGTGACTATGCCTCTTTGTTTTTGATGGTTTCCTTTCATTAAGTCCTTTTTTTTAATCAGCAAACATCTTAAAACCTTTAAAAGTCCAGTCTTTAAAAGTGTTCTCCTTATATTCCTTGTATGTCTTATTTTAAAATATCCTTTTTTATTGTTTCTCAATCCTATGACCATGTGGTGATTTCATTTAGACCAGTGTAACCTCTTCATGCTACTCATTTGTGGTTAAAATATAGACTTGTAACATATCTGTTCATTTGTTTGTGGCGCTGATGGTTGATATCTAACTCATTCTTATGTATTTTTTTTTTAAATGACAAGTCTTAATTCAGTAGGATTGCAGTTAGGGCTCTATAGAGGGAGAGAGGTGTGTATACCATTCAGAAAGCTTGTATCATCATCATCTTCCTCTTTTGTGAGATGCTCAGTTATTTTTATATATTAAAATATATCAGCTTGTTGATGACCTCTTTCATAAACATACTTTTTCTTGATGGAAATATCACTCTGAGGGCAATATGTATAAAAATCAATGCTGTAAGCACTCCTGCTTTTATTTTTGCAACTCTCATTCACTCCATTACCACTGCAGCATGACTAGCTAGCTCTGCTACGCAGAGAACCTCCTGTTCGTTTTGATTCTGTAAGTCTACCATTCTAAACACAGAAAGCACTTCTTGGATTTTAGCCGTTGCTAGAGAATATACTTTAAAGACTTTCAGTCAACTTTTATGGAATCAAGTTATCGAAAGAAAAATGCATAAATACCCATTAACATGCACTAACCCTTATTTTAACATATTCTATTTCTTTTTCTTAATATTTTGGGAATGATACTTTTGTTTATTTGTTTGTTTCTGATCTATTGCATTTCAGAGTATTCTATTTTGCATTTTAAGGTTCTTTGCTGCTGGGAAGATCACAAATGTTAAGGACTGAGCCAATATTCAGAATTATTTGGCCGTATTGTTCCAGAGAATAGAAGCTTCTCTTAATGATTGACTGAAGCACTCCCAGATTCCTTTATTACACCAGGGAATCTATTCTATTAAATTTATTTCAACCCCTCTAAAATTCAGAGCTTATTCCATATTTTTTATAAAAGAAATTTCAGTATGTGCCTGACAACATTTGGCTATTACCACGCAGAAAAAATATTACAGGAAACATAGATGCATGTTTTTAGCCTTCTTGTGAGAATTTTCAAACATATATGAGAATTG